GGGGGGGGGGGGGGGGGGGGAAAGCCCACGTGCTCGGTTTGCAAAGCACCCTCGAGTTTGTCGCGTCGCTCTCCTGCCGCCCCCCACTCCGAAAGCCACCCCGCAGACACCAACCTGTGCTCCGTGCTGGCTGGGTGCTGCCGGCTGTATTGGCAGGGTCGTCATAGCAACTCTGCCAAACTCTTTCGCACGGCCGGGAGAGCCGGAGGACTCAGAGCGCAGAGGGACGGGGGCTCGCCCCGTGTGCCCCATGGCAAGCACAAGGGATGGGCCCAGAGCCAGGCTTCTCCGCAGAGCTACGTGTTTTTGAGTTAAGGATTATCCAGCAGAATATAAAATCCTGAAAAGCAACGAGTGTTTCACCTCTGGATGGTTTTTTTTTTTTATATACGCAGCAGCAGAAGGCTGGAAATGAAAGCGCGGATTACCGTACTGATGGGTAACAGATAAATGAGCCTTGCAAATGTCAGGAGAAAAAGGAGAACCCCCCTGAAAATGCACATCAGAGGTCTTAGGAGAGAAATCTGAGTAAAAGTGACACTAATTTCCTCATCCATTACATTTCTTCCAGAGCCACCAGCCACCAGGAGCAAGGATTGCCATTATGCCTTGTGGATGTCTGTGATAATCTTCCCTGTCAAGTACTTAATGGTGCACATTTCAGGTATAAAACCATCTCACCCACGAGCCAAATGTGTTTATTTATTCTTGTCCTTTTACCACATTTTCTGCAGACAACGCTGCAGGCTGAATGCTACAAATTCTGAAGTAGGTGGGGACACTTGGGTGCCTGCAGAGGCTCAATACATCTTGATCTTCCCTGATGGGTGTTTGTCTGCCATCTTCAATGGTTGTAGCATTGACAGTGGCTTAAATGTTGTGGCTGTGCCTGGGTAGGACAGAGGGTGTGAGGGGATGGTGACTGCTGGGTAAGGCACAATTTTCAACTCCGAGCAGGGAATGATCTTTCAGGTTTGATGGTGAGAACCAGTGAGTACCAGGGAATACAGTAAATAGTGAAACTGTAAAGCTGTTTCACCCAGAACTGTCTCTGCTGTGGGCAGGGAAGGACAGAGCCCTCCTCCTTCGACTTATTCCAAGAGTGAGTGTGACTGAAGGCAAATACTCTGTTTCCCATGACAAGGCTGAGGGTCACGGAGCGGAAGGAGACAACGCCGCTCCCTGGGAAATCAGGTGGAGAAGGAAAATGAGCTGGAGGGAGGGAAAAGGTGCTCTGCATCCAATGGGCGAGGTGGTGTGGAAATGATGGAGGGGTATCTGTACCACGGGAAATGCAAACATGGAATTTCTGATTCTGGATTAGATGAACTGGGAAGATGACAGCTGCTGGTGAGCAGGTCCCAGCATCTCCTCCCTGGCTGCATCCCCTAAATCCAGGGATGTAGGAGAAATGGAACTTTCAGATCCCCCCTTTAAGCAAGAAAACCAGAAAGAAAACTATGGAAGTTGACCAGGTTAGGAAATACTTATGCGCAAGAAAATAATTCCTGTTATTAAAAATGAGATGAAGATGTTCATGAAGGAATTATTCACACCCATTGACTAAACACCACCTGGTTTTGGGTAGAGCCTAAGAATTACCAAAGACAATTGTTCCTGTGTTTTACCGTGGCCAGTTGTATGGGGTTAGAGTGGGGGACAGGGGTTTGTGGAGGACATGAGAGAAATCCATGAGGGAGAAGAAAAAAATGCTTACAGCAGCCCCAAAACTACAGCCTTAAATTACAACCAGAACTAGCCCCTTCTATTAATTCTTTATCTGGGAAGAAGATGTGTGCGATTCCCATCTCCAGTTTTCTTAGTCCGCGTACAAACATCTGAATTATACTTAATTATTTTGACACTCATTATTATCATTCTGTACCTTTTGGTATTCCAAGGGTACAAAGCAGATAAATGTAAGTGTACTCTTCTCACAAGAAAGGCAAAATTAGGTCATCTTGAAAAGAAGCTGATGATATTTGCAGCTTTATCGGAAAACTCTTTTGACTCACTGAACTCAAATTTTATTTAAAAACTGTCATTCTGCTACAAGAGAAGGAATCTCCTTAGTAAGTAAGAAGTGTGGATAAGTTTTGTAAAGGGTGTCCGAATATATCATTCAGCCAAAGTGTGAGATATAAACCTGAACTGACCCAAAAGTGCCCTAACTGAACCCTTTTATCCTCTTCCTCTCCCAAGCACACATTGAGGCCACTATGAAAAGTAGAGTCAAAATCCAGGTTATGATGGGCGAGGAGGAGAACTTGGTTTTTCCTTGATACAATTCCCCTTGTTCTGACCTTTCCAGATAACATTTGGCCTCAAATCTCCATCTTGGCTTTTTTTTTTTCTTTAAATTGGTTTTTCTTTTCACTTGCACAGACGTTGGTTGCTGCCACTGAGGAGAATCAGCAAAGCCTCCTCCACTGGGGAGTGACAGGGCTTCAGTTCTGTTGCTGTTCATACGATTGTTGCTTCAGTTGTCTGGTATTTGATTAAATCTTACATTTAGTTAGACTGCAAGGAAGCTGTTAAATCTGACAGTGTAAATGATGCTTTAACTTAGCCCATTATCCTGCCAATACAATTTGTTGCAATAGACTTTTAGCTCTCCTCTTTCTTCCGCTTTGGACACACCAAAGAGCAAACCAAACAACGGGAGGACGCGTAGGGGAAATGCCCAGAAACACACTGTTTGTGGAGCAAGGTCCCATGACATGTGATGCGCCTTCATTTTTTTAATATTTGTTTCAATTCTTAAAATAGAGTAAGGTTTAAAAAAACCCAACAAAAACAAAAAGCAAAACCAAAGGACCTCAGTATTCTGCGTCTGAAACCAATCATTTTTGCAATGAAAGGAGACAGCTGCTCCAAGCTGAGTTTGCTCTCACAAAGCTTGGGGAATCACCCAAGTGAAATGCCCAAACCAACTGAAAACTGTCAGAATCAATACTTTAAGTTTATTCTGGGAACTTTGTAGAATAAATAGAGAAAAAACATTTAGAGAAACATATGTTGGCATTCTTTAAAGGTGAAGAATGTGACAACAACATACTGTGGAAGTAGGATGCTCAGATGTGTGTTTTATTGCTGCTATATTCAAAAGAAAAGCCAGAGGAAGAGGTGGGAGGGTCTTGGACTCCGACCAAGCCTTGTGTCGTGTTTAGCCCAATGAGCACAGAGTGGGTGAAGCACTGAAGGAGCTTCCCCACCGCTCTGTTTTCAGGAATTATTATTAGCAGGATTTAGGAGGGACTGAAGTGAAAGGTTTGAGATGTAAACTTCACTGGTTGACTTTAGCTTAAGAGGCAGCCTTGTGGGAAAGCATTTCTTTAAAACTCTTCCCTTCTTTTTGTTTGGAGCAGCTCTCTCAAGATAAAAACCAAGTTGGTTTCACACCAAAACAACCTAGAGTAAGAACCCGAGGTTATCTGCAATGTTCAAGCATCTAGATAGTCATGCAGAGTGCAATGTTAAAGTCCTTGAAGCTGACACTTAGGAGATACCCTCTCCCCATCAGTGTCTTTTGCTACAGATTTTCAGCTGACTGTCTCTACTTAACCACTTGCAACAAGACTATTCAAAGGTAGAGTTATGATATTAAGTTACCCAAAACTGAGAATTATTTACTGCACAGCTGTGGAATGCTTTGCAGGACCCTCGAGATTGTTTTAAAACACGCAGATCACAGCATGAAGGTGGAGGCAGACAAATTTGGCCATACTTAAGCCTCACTTCAAGTCCTTAACTGAGGACTGAATCCAGATGGCAAAATGAATCAGCAGTACCAATTTCCAGTCAAAACATGTGCCAAGTATTTTATTTATCATGGCTTACTGTCACCTGCTGTTAGAATAGGGAGTCATCCACATTTATCTTCAAGAAATCTAGTTTTTGAGTATGCTTGAGTTGTTGTAGAAATAAAAATTGCAAAAGGCCTTAAAACGGAAAAATATGTTGATAGATAAATAAAACAAATGCTGAGAACACGGATATAGAAACTTAAATCACTCAGGACTACAGACTGTGATATATATTATGTGATTTTTTAATTTTATGACTCCTACCTCACAAGTTAGTCCTTTTAAAATTGACAGATCTAATTAAAATCTGCAGTTTCCATTCTTAGCAAGTAAAATTATATGTACTATAATAAACAAATTCTCTAGTTCTAATGAAAAAAAAAAATCACTGTTACCTTACTTGCTTTGGTTTTATTCACAAAGGTGTGATTGAAATGATGAGATTATAGAAACAGCTATAATCTTCCAGGAAAGAGATTACAGGTAATTATGAAATCATTTGTAAGGGAGCAACATTAAATACTGCTAGAATCAGCTATGGCCAGCCATGCTACACTCACATTATTTGTGTTCAATGAAATTCTTTTGTGTTTTCTGTTTTAAAGAAAATACAGATCTCTTGAATGAATATTAATAATTAGCATGTCTTAGTTAAAAGACCTTGAAAGAAATCTTTTGAGGTTATAATTATATACAGCCTCAATACGCGTAAGAATTGTTCCTTGTCAAGAGGTGTAGGGAAGAGGTAGGTAGGAAAGTTTTGAATAAAGGTCTGGTAATAGCTCGGTGTGAGGCTGTTCCTGGAGAGCTCCGGGGCTGGCCTGGCTCTGAGCGGGAAATGCACAACATTTCCTGCCTTTGTACACACAGCACCTGCAGAAACACAGACCCTGGCCCTAACAAACATGTCCTCAGGCTGCAGAATTACAGCCCAGGACAAATATCCACGAGTGATATTGAGAGCTTGCTTCTGTTCTTTTGAGGCTTATAGCCCAGGAGTGAATAGTTTTAAGGGTTATTTACAATTTACGATATATTCTGTAAGTACCTCTTCTTGAATGTTAGGATTGACACAAGCAGTTCTACAATACTTGAAGTGTTTTTACTTAAATGTTTTTACTTAAAGGAAATAAGGGAACATCCACAGAACCAGGTGTTCTTGAACTGACCGCTCCCACTAGCAGCACGGAGTGGGATGTTTGCTCTGGCCACGTGCACAACACACGTGAGGCTCAAACCTGCGACCGACAGCAGCGGTGCCCTCGTTTTTTGGATCATCCCACCTCTGCCACCCTCACCGAACACCTCACAACCTGCCAAGGACGCTGGCACCCTCCGCTCCGGATTCACTCAGGTCTGCAGCGGGGTGTCAGCACCCCAGCCTCCCCCGAGCAGGAAGGGATGAGGTGTAGCTGCATTTGTAGCGTGCTTGGTTCAGAGGGTGATGTAATGAGCACAGCAAGCCCTAAACAAATGCAGCTACATCTTTGGGGTGGCTCCGTGATAAACTGAGCTGACAGAGTAACTGCAAAAGGTGGGGGGATTATTTTCAAGCGGGAAGGGAAAATAATTTTGCTGGTAGGGAGGACTCCAACCTTGTATCCAGCGCAGAACTAAAGCCATGATCTGAGATGTGATTCTCCCTCTGTAGTCTCAAATCCTGTAGGCTTCCTGTAACATAAGGTCCCATTACACAGGATTGTGGATAATATCCAAGGAAAATTTAATACAGACATAACAAACTCCGAGACATTTATACTACATTTATTAATTATTCTACTTCAAGATTATCAAGGCCTGCCTCAATACATGTGTTTGATCTCTGGGCAACCACGGACCTCCCTGGAGGAGCTGAAGGGACAATGCAACGTCCCTGTGGTTGGTGGTTCTTAAATCAGCAGAAATCCCCAACCGCCCCAAGTTCTGAGCAGGTTTCTCTGGAAACCGAGCGCAGAGCCAGGCAGCAGGTCACATTGCACTTCAGGTGTCCACCCACACACATACAAAAAGGAACATATAAAAAAGGCATAAACCGAGCAGACAGCACTAATACAGACCTAGAAAAGGACCAGGGGCAGTGTGCACACCGAGGAGGGACTCTATACTGACCGGGTTTGGTTGTTTGTGCCGAATCCAAGGAAACAGAATCCTACAGATATGCTCTATGAAAAGGCAACATGGCACTCAAAAATTTTTACTTCAGCTTCATGCCTCCCTTATACTTTTTGTTTTGAATCGCTTCCTTTCCCTTCCTTTTTTTTCTTCCA